CTATAGTAGTAAATTTCTTGTTTTGTTTATTTATAAGAGAAAGTTAGCACTTCTCCTTTATAATAAAATCTCATTCAGTTTTGTGGGCTCAAGTCAAAGTATAGTATTGGAGCCTAAAGTGTAACTCAGAACACCGAAGTACAGGGAAAGGTAGGAAACAGGAATAATCTATCGTAAGAAATACAAAAAGCTTTTGTTATAATGCATATATTTATATAAAGTATTTTATCCAAATGAAGTAAACTATTGATCTAATCAAAATGCTTTCAAGGTAAATCCTGTTGAAAACAACATAAACTGTTTTTCCAAATAGGTGGTGGCTAGGAGTTGGTTTTTAAAGTTTTCCTACCTCCACCATCCAATGTTCTCTTCCTCCCCCATCGTATTACTTTAATAACCAAATTCAATAACATTATTTCTCCATCTCCATGAAACAGTTGACCACGTCTTTAAAACATGATCAGTTTTAGTGGAATAGTATATTTCACTAAAGCAGGATGTTGGATAACAACTTTTCCATCCCAGGATTTAATCAAATAGCAGTTATCCGGTAAGAATAGCCATATATTATGCAGGTCTATATAGTTAGAAGTAATTCCCAAATAAGCTTGAAAAGCACTGCAACTTTAAAACCCAAGTTCAATGCCAGTGATTTAGTAACCAACAATGGTAGCAATTATAGATATCCCCATTCTTTTGGAAATCCTAGCAACAGGCTCCTTGTAAGAAATTCACCAGAAAACATTACTTAATGTTGTTAATACTTATATTAACACTTTGTAACTTCTATGCTAATCGGGAGAGGGACGGACTAAGAATGTGGCAAGAAGTCGGTGCTGGCCATTTCTGAGACACTACAACGCGTTGTAGTTTCAAACTGGTTTGCATTTTGACAATTGAGACGCTGAGCACTCATCTGATAATAGCCTCGGCCACTCTAATCTAATCAGATCATTAAACCGGGCAGGCAGCGAGGAGAGAGAAAGGAAAGAAACCATGCAGCTTCTCACCAAGTAGTCGGTTCCCCATCTCTCTCTCTCTCTCTCTCTCTCTCTCTCAGCTGCCGCCGCCTCCCTTAAACCTCCATGTCAGAAGAAACTACCCACCGCCGGTCCTCTTCCAGCTCCTACTCTCAATAGGACCTTGGCAGCGAGTCGGAGGTCTCGAGCAATTTATCTCCCGAGTCAAAAATGGGGGAACTTCGGCGCGTCTCTGGGCTCTTGCCTGCCCGGATAAAGGGGCGCACAACCCCTGAAGAAGGCAGTGCTCAGCAGGAGCCGACGAGGTCTAGCAAAGCGGAGACCCAAGCTGCCCAAGCGGAGAGCGGCGGCGGCAGGCGCGTCTTTGAAAGCCAAGAGAAAAAAGCAAGCGGCAGCCCCATTGTGTTGCCCTCCGACGCCCTCCTCTCCAGCCCCAGCACCGCCTAAAGCTGCCGTTCCAGGGCTTCCCTCTCTCCAGCCCCGCACAACGCGGTCGCGTCTCCCTGCGGGAAAGTTGGCACGGAGTAAAGGAACCGGGCGGGCGGGCACGACTTACTCGGAGGGCTCGAGGCTCTTCCTTTCGATGGCCGATGATGACATTGGCAGGGGTCGCTCCTTTGTAGCGGCGGCGGCCGTCGTGACTCTAGGCTGGTCCGTGGCAAGGTCTATCCCCTACAAAGGCTCGCCAGCTCCCGAGTGCCTTTTCGGGGGCGGCGGCGGCGAGCAGAGCGGCACCTCCACCCTCAATGACATCCACAGGGTGGCCCGCCTGTAACGCCGAGGGACGGACGGAGGGGTAGGGGTGGGGGTCTGGCGGCGCGCCGGCAAGGACGAGATTGACCGCGCGGCCCCTTAGCCCGCACGCGCTCCCGGAGCTGTCTGGGCAGGCGAGGCGATCCCTTCGGAGCTAAGCGCCCATCCTCGGGACGCTCCTCCTGCTCGGGTTGCGCGACTGGTCGCTGGGAAGAGCCCGCTGTTGCTGCTGCTGCTGCTGCTGCTGGCGCTCGCGGCCGGCGCTCAGCTGTCACCGCTGTGCTTATCCCGGAGTCAGCTCGCTGCCTGGATTAGGTCGTCTGCCTGGAGAGGGCTTCCTGCACTGCGGAGGTAGCATGGAGCATCCCTGGCTCCTCCGCCTTCATTATGACCCGGGTCCGGGGCTGCCGTAGCTGCTATTATTGCTAATAGACCATTTATTGAAGCCAGCCCTGATGGTCTCCCCTCTGTGCCTCTCTGGTTTCACATCCTCTTTCCTGATCACGATTCAAATACAATGGGAGGAAATGGCATTTAAAGAGACAGCTGTCTATTTCTTAACTGGACACTTGGGAATTTAAGCAAGCCTAAGCAGCACAGCAGCAGCAGCATCTCTCACGACTGAGTTGGTTTCTTAAAGGGCCAGACTTCTCCTGGCACGCACCAGCAGCTTGGGGAAGCTATCTCATGAGTACGATTTAGTGCTTTTTAATTTAATTCCACAGTCATTTGTGGATAACACGTGGCTTAGCAGCAAAGCATCCAAATAGAAGGTTGCCTTATACAGATTTACATGTCTAGGATTTCTTAATGGCAAAATCTAAATCAGTTTTTAGATTTTGACTTGTTAAAGGTCTAAATGCACTGTATTTTGGTAATTACCAAGGCGCCTGTCCACTTGCTTGTCTGTATCTTGAACATGGATAATCACTGAAAAAAACCCATCTTTTGCACATGAATGCAATGGGATTTTTAAAAAAAAGAGAAATAATGAAAGCCAGTAGCTCATTCCATCATTTGTCCCACCACTTTGCGCTACCCTTCCATAACCAACCACCAAGATGGGAAACTTCATATAGTACTGTTGTTTAGGATCATTGCTAAAATGGTGCCTTTGTCTGGAAGTGCAGTGTGAAAATTGAATTTTAAAAAGGGCTCTTAATTAGAAAGGCCATACTCCAATTTCCATAGACTTCAGATAAATAAACCTCCAAGCCACAAAGAGTTTGAGACATATTGGAAGGACTCACTGCCTGTATTTGTTCCTTTAATGAGAACACCAAACCTTCGTTAGCAACATGTGTGGTCTTCCCAGAAGTGGCTGGTGGTGTTAGATAGGTGAAGTTCTGCTGTGGGCTTCAGTGGGCCTTCAGCCTGGCTGCTGGTACCTTTTTTTCAAGCCAGATCATAAGGAAACAGCTACATTTTATGAACTGGAGGGTCTTATCTGTAAGTCCCAGGCATTTGATGCCCATGGTGCAAACTCAGCAGTGAGGGAAAGAGCGCTGACATGCTTTAACTTGCTATCATCCACTTCGTTTACAAAGACATCCATCCAAAAGTCATTTATAATTTCAACTTTTTTGCACTGTGTTGGAAAAACAATTACAAAACTGCTGGGGAATGAGACAGAGGGGAGAGGTATGTTTATGAGTTCATAACTAATCACTAGGATACTTTGCCAGTTTTTCCATAACGTGCTTAAAATATTTAAACCTTCTTAGTCTTTGATTGTGATAAGGAAAAAAAAAGTAGACTTTTTGGAGTCAGCCACAAAGCAATGGACTACTCTTAAAATGTTGTGTTTGCTTTAACATCAGAGCTTGCAGATACAATCATATCTGTATTTAAAGGATGGATATATATGCTACTGCTTGAAACAGTTACAGGAAATAGAACATTAAAAGTCATCCTGAGCTAAGGAACCATTTGTTTGATCTATTCTGAAGACAAAAGGTCACCAACAGGCTACTTTTGTATATATTATCATTATATTGTATCCATAACCTCTAATATAAATGAAGAACTATACCTAGGAAATTGGCTTCTTCAGGTGACAAGACCTGTATAAGAAAAATAGGCTACTGACCAGAGCACAACCTTATTTAATATGTAAACAAGAAAGAAGTAGAGAGTTCAGCCCACAGTACTGGTTTTATCTAGACAAATCCAAATGTGCAATTAAAAGGTATGGTGCTTATCCCAGTAATTAAAGTGATCAGAGACTGGTGTGATTCCATTACAAATAAAATAGTTTTAAAAACCTCAATCACACAAGGAATTAGTAAAATATACAATTCAGAATATATACTGTAGCTATTGTGTTAAATTAAAAGTATTAATTTTTAGTAGTTAAATCTAATTACAGGTAGTCCTCTTTAGTGACTACAGTTGGGACAGGCAACTTAGTGCTTAAGTAAAGGGGTCACTCAGTGAAGCCACAATGGTGCTTATGATTTTATTTCAGCTTTCCTTTGCTTTGCAGACCTGTGAAGGTACTAAATGTCCCCATTACACCTTCAAACAGTTACTAAATGAGACTGTCATTAAACAAGCCTACCTTTTTCCAGGTAATGCTAGGAGTAGGCCTAAATGATTCTTGAATCTCCCAACTCAAGAAATTAGATAGACTTTAAATGGAAAGTTTTAAATTACATATTACAAGTGGCTTCTTCCTAGGTAATTGGGTGTTTGTGTGTGCGCGCGTGCGTGCATATACATCTATATAATTTATCTATGTCTATATAAGATTACTGTCTTATTGATGCTACCAAAAGATCTTCCAGATTTTGCAACCCAGATGTGATAGCCCTATTTTATGAAACTCTCTTAATAAAATTCCAGTTTAATTTTAAAAGATCATCAAAGATGTAAAAATTGCGCCTTCTTTTGGAAAACTGAAAACAATCATTTTCAGTTACTTGCGATTGCTGTCAATGGATCTTTTCATTTCTATCTGTAATATTTTTGTGAATATAGTTCAGCTTGATGCATATTTAGCTGGAAGAACACCATCCTTTTCAACACAGTTGCCCTGATCCATGTGTTCAATAGTACTAAGCTATGAAGCCAACATGGAGACCCTCCAGCCCTCCCAGTCACATGAATAACTCAATTTCAATTTCCCTTTTCTACTTGTAAAGCACATGTGCTTTACTATAAGTAAGCATAGATATATTTTTTGCTGCTTTTCCCATTGTTTTTTAAAAAGCTTTGGATACAAATTAAAAGACAGTCAGATGCTCAACATCCTGTTAAACAATATTTCATATTGTGTATGCTATCTTAATGCCCCGCACATAGGCTTTGGTTGTAACCCATAGGTTTTGAATGGTTGTCTGCTCATTCCAGTTTTGCTCTAGGAAAAAACACTAATTCTTTTTCCACATATTGAACATAGTTCTTTTCTTTTACAACCCTTTGCTTCATGGTCCATCTCTTTTTTTTCAGGAATGCCTTTAATTTCCCATTACATATCAGAGAAAGGGGCAGGCAGGTTTGGGTAATACTTGGGTTGTTATGTAAATAATGCCTCCAAAGGTATATTGAACACTTGGTATGGAAGATAGGCTAAACCAGGGCTGTCAAACTTGGGGCACATGGTCCAGATGCGTCACGTGCTGGCCATGCCCACTCCCATTTTAGTGAAGGGGGTAAAGTTGCAATACATCACGTGACAACAATGTGACGCTGCAAGTTTGACACCCCTGGGCTAAACCATCAATATGTTTCTTAATACTGTACTCGAAATCTGACTGTGCATGTACTGAAGATGATTGTGTTTGAGAGAATTATATATGGTAATTAAATCTGAGGAGGCTTCTCTGCATATAAAACTTTTGTTATTCTTAGGTAATAAAAATAATAAATCAAGTGCCTAGAAATAACAGGACTCAGTAGAAACATCATAATTTTTCTTCAAAGATCAATGGTGCAGTGGACGACTCGGTTGCTGATCAATGGCAATAGATTGGAAGGGGTTAATACTGAATCTTCCAAGTAGACTCAACTATCATCATGGGCTTTCTTGGTTTTTTCCTTGAAAACATTTTGCTTCTTAACCAAGAAGCTTCTTCAGATCAGAAGCAAAATGTTTTCAAGGAAAAAAACAAGAAAGGCCAGTTATTTTTTGAATAGCACTTTTGGGACATGACCTGGATAATTAAGAATATCCATTGATATATGGCCACTACTGTTTGTCATTGCATTGATTCATTTGTCACCAATACTAAATAACTCAGGCCATGGCTATCAAACAACAACAAAAATCTGCTAGGCTATCCCACCTCCTTTACATGGATGATTTGTAGCTGTATGAAAAAATACCATCTGAGATAGAATTGCTGTTCAACACTGTCTGTATATATAGCCAAGATATTGCGATGGAGTTTTGACTGGACAAACATACATTCAGCATTATATTGGGGGAAATAGTGAAAAGTGATGGAATCCAGAGGACCTATGAAAATGACATCAAGAATTGGGTGAAGACAATCACTATAAATACCTAGGCTTCCCTTAAGCTGACAACATCAAGCATACTTCAGTCAATAAAATGATTGGAAATGAATACATCAAGAAAGCGAAGAATATCTTTAAAGTCCAAACTCAGTGAAAGAAATACCATCAAGACAAAACACCTGGGCAATTCCAGTAATTAAATACGTAGCTGGAATAGTGGATTGGAAAGCAGAACTAAGGGAAGACCAGAAAAATAATGACAGTGAATCATGCCTTCTACTTATCAAGGAAAATAGGTGGGTGTGGAATGTTGCAAGTACATCAGACAGTTGAAGAAGAAAAAAGGCATTGGAGGAATATCTGAAGGATAATGAAGAAGATGCACTAAAGCTAGTAGACCCCAAGAAGGCCTACTGAATACTGGGAGGCTAAACTGGTCTACAAGAAAGACCAAATGAAGAGCAGAAAGGAGGCATGGAAAGACAAAGCATTACATGGCCAATAAAAATATAGCATGGAAAACAGATAATAATAAAACCTGGCAATGGATAAGAGCAGGAATGTTGAAAAAAGAGACAGAGGGGCTAATTCTGGCTGCATAAGACCAAGCCTTAAGAACAAATGTGTACAAAGCCAGAATTGAAAAGATAGCAATAAATAACAAATGCTGCTTCTGCAAAGATGCTGAAGAAACAGCGGATAACCTGGCCAACTTCTGCAAGAAGGTCGCACAGACTGACTACAAGCAAAGGCATGACAAAAATCACTGGAAGATCTGCAAGAAATACCATTTGCCTACAAGCAAGAACTAGTGGGGCCATAAAATGGAGAAAATAATAGAAAATGAAGAAGTTAAAGTCTCTGAGTCTTTAGATTTCAAGAAGACAGGCACCTTGCCACATAACACTTCAGATTTAAGCATTGTCAATAAGAAAGACAAAAAAGTCTGGATACTAGACATGACAGTACCTGGGAA